ACCGCCACCTACTACTGCGCGAAAGAAAGTGGTGCTTGTGGCCTCAACCCCGGCAGCGTGTCCCCGGCAACATTTCACAGCATTCCAAATCTTTCCCAAACCCCTGAGCCCAGCTCAGACCCAGACCCCAAACCTGAACTCTTTATTTCAGTCCTCGACCGTTTTTGCCCAAAATCTTGACCCTTTACCTTATACCTCAACTCTTTGCCCCAAACCTTGGCTATTTGCACCTAATCGTGACCATTTGCCCCAAACTGTGACATTTTGCTTCAATCCTTGAGCATTTATTCCCTAAACCTCAACCATTTACCCCGAAAATTGACTGCTTTTGCCCCAAACTCGACTGTTTTCTCCCAATCTGAGTCTTTTGTCCCAAATCTCAACTTTTTTTTACTCCACACCTCAATCAATTGCTCCAACCTTGAGCATTTTTACAATTATCACAACTTTTTGCCTCGCACCTTGACTGGTTGTGCCCCAAACCTTGAGCTTTTGCCCCAGGCCCTGACCATTTGGCACATGGCACAACCACCACCACCCCTCCACGAATTCCACCACCCACCCAAGCCCCTTCCCGGGTGCCCATCGCACCCAGCCGCAGCTCCTTCTGCTCAAGAAAGCTATTCAGGGACCCAAAATCCCAAAAGGGCCTTTTTCACCCCAGACTTAGGCCCTGTTCTCGTTTTTTGGGCCTTCAGTTACAGCAAATGCTTTCGGCACCTGGATTGCAGGGAACAATTAAATTTACCCCCAGCTCCCCTCAATTAGGGCCAATAATTAAGTCTATAGGTGCAATTAATTAAGCATATAAGGGCTTATAAATACTTTTCACTGTTTATAATTATATTTATCCCCCAGGACCCCTAAATCAGAGCTAATAATTAACCCTATTGCAGCTTCAGTTTATTATGAAGTGTATCCGCGAGCCGCAGGAAATTAGGGCCAATAATTAGGACTATTAGGGCTAATAATGAAGCTGATCAGGCCTTATAATTAGATTTATTCCCCATCCATTCTGTGTTAGGATGATAATTGGTGAATAGGGCTAGTAATTAAATTTATTCCCTATCCTTTTTGATTAAGGCTAATAATTAAGTCTCTTAGGGCCAGGCCTGGTACCCAGGAAGGATCCAGGCTCAGGACATCAGGACATGCTGGGGTCAGTTGAGGATTGGGGCAAAAAGTCAAGATGCTGAAAAATAACAGTCAAGGTTTGGGGAAAAGTCTTTAAATTTGGGGTGAAAAGAGTCGTTTGGGGCAGAATACTCTGATTTTGAGTAAATGGTTGAGTTTGGAGCAAAAGCAGTCGATTGTTGTGGTAAAGAGTTGAGGTTTGGGGCAAAAATGCTCAGTTTGGGGCAAAAAAGTCATGGTTTGGGACAAAGAGTTGGGGTTTGGGGCCGGGGTCTGGGTCTGGGCTGGTTGCAGGGTCTGGGCTGGGCTCAGGGGTCTGGGGAAGATTTGGGGATGCCATGAATGGTGTTTGGGGACACAGCGCTGGGGTTGGGGCCAAAACCACCACTTTCTTTCACACAGTCGTAGGTGGGGGTGTCGTCGTCGCGGAGGCTGTTCATCTGCAGCGTGACCGTGCTCCGGGAGTTGTCCCGGGAGAGGGTGAAGCCCCTTGACCGACGGCGCGTACTCTGTGTAACTACCACCCTTGCTAATACTCGCGACGTACTCCAGCCCCTTCCCGGGCGCCTGTCGCACCCAGCTCATGGTGTAGCTGCTGAGGGTGAAGCTGGAGCCCTTGTTGGGGTCTGGGCTCTGCTCAAGGGGTGC